AAAAAAAAAATAAAATGCCAGGCTGTTATCACCTGGGAGCAAGTAATCAGAGTGTCTCAACAAAGGGAAGGGCATCAGTTGTAGCCTTGGGGCTTGCCTTGCCTCTCTCACCCCAGCTCAAGATTCACTGGTTGCTTCTTGCTAGAGACTCCACCCTACCTTCTTAACAATGCAGTCTCTGTGCCAGGTTAAAAAAGGGAGAATCGGCCCTTCAAGAGAAACTTCAAAACAGAAGATAAGTTCTAGGCCCTCTAACTCTGGACACAATTACTGGAAACATTCTCACTGATGACAACTCTCAAGACTCAAAAAGAAAAATTAGATCCTTAGAATGCACCTTATATTCAAAATCAATATTGGCCTACTGATGGCTTCGGAGGTAGAATAGGGTTTGAAACTCTCTCCTACCATCACTCAGTAGTAATCAGACCCAGGATAAGGTTGCTCAATTTATCTGGGTCTGGGTTTACCTGCCTGGAATAATGGGGACAATTTCACCTACCTCACAGAGGTGTTGGAAGGATTAAACTGAAGAATGGATGAAAAAATGCCTTGAATGTAGTGTTTAATAAATACTAGCTTTGTTCCCTTTCTCCCCCCCCTTTCCTATAGCAAAGAGGCAAAGAAAATACTAAACTATTTAGATGAAGAACTGAAAATCCTCTACACTATGATTTTTTTTTTAAAAAAAATTCTGAATCTTGGTACCTGGTACAATTTTAAAATCTGGTGCAGGAATTCTGAGAAGGCAGAGATCATCTTTCCAGCCCTAGCACAATATTAAGACATTACATTACAGAAGGTAGGTGTTAGGTAAATGTTTGTTGAATGAATGAATGGTGTATTTAATGCCAGCAGAGGCTGGTGCATATATGGAGAATATAAAACAACATTTGAAGAGAGAGGTCAGAATTACCAGGGTACAGGAGTTAGAGTAATCTGGGTGGTAAGGGTCAAAGTGAAGTTTGCAGAGCATAAAGAATTATTTTGCATAACAACATTTGGACTCTATTTGGATAGTTTGTGGAGTCTTTTTGCTAAACAACAAAGCTCAAGGTGCTCTGTTAATATTTCTCCTCCATTCAGCTGCACTTTACTCAGAAATAAAGAAAAGGTGGCGACTGTACTCAGTGTGTAAGGCGCTGGCCACATACACAGAGGCTGGCAGGTTCAAACCTGAGCCCGGGCCACCTAAAACAACAATGACAACTGCAATAACAGCAACAACAAAATAGCTTGGCATTGTGATGGGCACCTGTAGTCCCAGCTACTTGGGAAGCTGACATAAGAGAATCCTTTAAGCTAAGGTGACCAGATTTTAACATTGGTAAAGCAGGACACCATTGGGGGGGAAGGTGGGGCCTCAGGGGCCTGACAACAATGCAAACTTTGATAAGCAGTTCTCGATAATCAGTTCTCAATAATTATTTGTTATTATTAAAGTTTAACATTATAAAATTAACAAAAATAATATAAAACTCATATCCTGGTGAAATAGCCACATGGCAGCCAAAAACTGTATATTCCCTTCCCGTTCTCCCTCTGTTCCCTAGCTTGTCATGCATTCTTTCCAAAAATCGGGGCTTTTTTAAAACACCGCGGGACACAGGACAAATTGTTAAAAATCAGGATTGTCCCACCAAAAGCGAGACATCTGGTCACCTTACTCTAGAGAGGGGGGGCTACTTGTTTGTTCCAGATAGTTTGGCTCCTTCTGAGCTAATTGTCCTTGCCTAGAAGCAAGGGAGGGAGCAGTCTCCTTCTGATACTGGGGAGACCTTGCCCAGGAGGGGAGTAGGGAGTTTACATTAGCCTTTTCATTTCCAAATGAAGTTACATTAACCTCTTCATTCCCAAGTGGAGTTGCATTAACCTTTTCAACAGCTGAAAACCGTATATTCCCTTCCCATTCTCCCGCTGTTCCGTAGCTTGTCATGCACTCTTTCCAAAATTCGGGACTTTTTAAAAATGCCACAGGACTCAGGACAAATTGTTAAAAGTCGGGACTGTCCCGCCAAAAGCGGGATGTCTGGTCACCTTACTTTAAGCCCAAGAGTTTAAGGTTGCTCTGAGCTGTGATGCCACAGCACTGTACCCAGGGTGATACCTTGAGACTCTGTCTCAAAAAAAAAAATAAAAGAAAAGAAATGAAGTTAAAACACAAAGAAGCAAATCTTGTCATCTCCGGTTGAGAAAGTGTAGTAAACAACTCAGATTTTCATAATATTTAACTTAGGCCTACACGATCAAACAAAATAGATGGCTCCATGATGCAAATATAACGTCACAGTGTTTTTAAATATAAAGTTCTTAGCATTTTCTGACCTTGTTGGGAGGTAAATGTGGTAGTGGAGAATGAATGCTATTCCTATTAAATTTTCCCTCCACTGATGATGGCAGCGATAGGATCCTATTAAATTGTAAAGATATATCTTAAGTTCCTTCACAGATGTGGGTGAGAAGGTGGGGTGAAAACCTGCTAGTTTGCCCTTTGTGGTTAACAAAAAAATGTATTAGAATCTCAATCATTAGGCCAACAAAGAGGGTTTCTCCCAGTTAGCAATCCTGCCCTCAGCAAATAAAGGGCCTGGAGTGGCAGTGACCTTGTCTGAATCCTATTATGCTGCATATAGGGAACGCTCTGGAGGATGGGAAAGCTCCTGCCCTTCCCCCCCGCCCCCCAGCTTTAGGTTTCTATTAGGGAAAAACCCACTGGAACCAAGTCAACAGCGGGGCTGCAATGAGGGTGTTAAAATCCACAGCTACATTACTTTCAAAGATGGGGGCGTTAATAAATATCTTCACTACCTGTTTTTAAATTGTCCCTAACAAAAGATCCATCTCGTTTCAAATTCCGGCCTCAAATTAATCCAATCTTCAAAATATTCAAAGCCATAGGTGAAAACTCGGCAAGGGATTTTATGTTGTTTGTTTATGGGCTAAAGGTGGCTTCTCTGTTTGCTTTCATTGATCACTTAGGCTATTACCCAAATGACTGGGGGCAAAACTCAATGACTTGGGTTAATTTAGCTTATCTCGCCCTCTTTGTGGTAAAGATGAATGGAAGGGTAATTTGCCATGGGAAGGGTTTTTGCAAAGCTTCTGTTCCAAATGAAAATTTTCTAAAGGAAAAATTAAATTTTCTAAATGAACAGGTAGGAGAAAACAGGTCTATGAGAACTAAGGATTCCTAATCATTTGTTAAACCCATCCAGCTTAAAGTTTGCTTCACATTTTCCCATAAATATTTGCTTTAAATTATTTGGAGAAGGCAATCAGATTCATAATATGCCCAACTTTCTGGATCATAACCACATTGGAATGCAAATAATTTGGGATTCTCCTTCCAAAAAAGAAAGAAGGTGAAATGACTAAGACATAATCTAGCCCTTCTAGGCCTTGAAAATTTGGAGAGCAATTTCTATCTATCCTGCTGGATTTAGCTCTAAATCCCAGGGAAGGGCTCGGCGCCCATAGCACGGTGGTTACGGCACCAACTGCATACACTGAGGCTGGCAGGTTTGAAACCAGCCCGGGCCAGCTAAACAACAATGACACCTGTAACAAAAAATAGTGGGGCATTGTGGCAGGCACCTATAGTCCCAGCTACTTCGGAAGCTAGGGCAAGAGAATCGCTTAAGCCCAAGAGTTGGAGGTTCCTGTGAGCTGTGATTCCATGGCACTCTACTGAGGGCGACATACTGAGACTCTGTATCCAAAAATAAATAAATAAATATATAAATCATAAAATAAAATAAATCCCAGGGAAGGGGCATTTCTTGCCACTGTCCTGGCTTCACCTGTGTATAAAAGGTGAGACTAGTGCCAAACACCAGCAGGCACAGCTCTGTAATTCTATGCAGGACAGGAGATACAGCATTCTAGGAAAGCTAGTTGGTCAAAAAACATCTGCCAAATTCTGATGGCATTGGAATAATCTGAAGCTCAGGGATGTTTGCCAGGGAAAGAGTAGCATTCCTGAAGTCACAGGTCTAAGTTGGTGGACTGACAAAGGGTGAGGAATGACACTTGGTAGAGTATGTCGGGAAACATGCTACCTGCTGGGGGAGGAGAAATTGTGGATGAAAGAGCCGGACCCCTGCTTTTGTTTCCCACTTCTCTGACAGTGTCCTCTAGTCACAATCACCCAATCAGACTGTTGGTCACATCCAACCACACAATCACGTGGTCATAAACAATCTTGAACAGTTAGAAAACCACAGCCCCTCACACTCAGTACTTAGTGCAATCTAACACACTCAGTGCAGCAATTAGCTGACTCCTCTGAACATCCACAAACTCCTCTACCTACCTGATTGCCAAAGACAGCCATGGAGCAGGCTGTTGAAACTTCATTAGCCCCGAACCAGACCGAAGCCAGGCGGGAGGGCATGCCCAGGATGAAGACCTGGGCCATGGAGCAGATGACCTGGCCCACCACCGTGACTGGGAAGAGGTGCGGCTGCAGGCTGCCCAGCTTCACCCAGGCCCCCAGGCAGTTGAGAGCCGAGCCGGTGATGGCGATGGTACGCAGGCCGAATTTCTCCAGCAGCCAGGCCACGGGGAAAAGCAGAGGGATGTAGGTAATCATGTAGCACATGGACAGCCAGTCGATGGCAAAGGCACTGACCCCGTAGAATTTCATGAAGATGTTGTTGATGGAGCCGTATTGGATCCACTGAAAGGCATTGCACATGGAGTAGCAGCTAAACACCAGGACCACCGCCCAGCGGCGCCGGCTCACCTTGATCACGCTGTCTTCGGGGCCAGAGCCACTGGGTTGGGTCAAGCCACTGGGTTGGGCCAAGGCACTGGGGTGGGCCGAGCTGCTGGGGTAGACAGAGACGCTGGGGTGGATGGAGACGCTGGGATGTGCAGAGACGCTGGGATGGATGGATACGCTGGGATGGGCTGAGACGCTGGGGCGGACTGAGACGCTGGCGTGGGTCGAGGTGGTGGGGTCCGCAGGGATTGAGGACTCTGGCGCAGAAGTGTCATCGCGCTCCTGCTGGTTGGGACCTTCATTCACCATGACCACAGCCTCCCCTGGAGTCCTAGAGAGGTGCTGAGGACCCCAGCACACTTAAGGGATAGTGAGTATCCCCTAGAGCTGACGGGACACTTGCCGCCGCCTGCCCTAGAAGAAAGGGAGATCCAAGGCTGCGTAAAAGCCGAGACTAGGACTTGCTGCGCTCACCTCCAAGCTCCTGCTCGCTCTTTTCCTTGGAGCTGGCTGTCCCCACTCGCAGCGATCACTGTCCCCAGGCCGGCCGAAGACACCTCCCTCTGCTCGCTCTGCTCCGCAACTGCCCTGGGTCTCCCTCAAGGCGTTCTCGATCTTGGAAAAAGTCCACTCCTTGGCTCGGCCACTTGACTGGCTCAGTTTGCTCACTGCCGACTTGGGGCCTCGCCCCCTCGGGCGCACGTGACCGCCCCGCCCCCGTCCTGCCAGGCTTTCCCCATCCCCCTGCTCCGCCCCCACCCTGTCCCTCTTGCCTTCTCCAGCCGGGCCCGCCCGGCCACTCGGTTGTTTCGCCACAGCCTGCGGGATGCATTCCTCCCCCACGCCCCGGGCGCCATGGAAACCGGCAGCTTACCCCGCGCCTTGCAGGGCCCTTCAAATTCATTCGCCCCCCTCCCCGCGTTCCCTGTAAGAAGATCCCCTCCGAGGGAATTCTCCGGAATAGAGTTTCCTGGGCGCGAGTCCGCAAGCCCCACACGCTGGCACTAACGCTGGCGCCGCCAAGGTGCTCTGGGACGTTCAGGAGGGATTCCCCAACTTTCCCTCTCCCGGCTGGCTCCCAACCCTGGCTGAACTTTCGGTATAAAAAGAGATTTGTAGATTTCCTATTCTGGTTGCGCTCCCGGGTTACAGGGAGCTTAGGAAAACGCGCTTTGCTCTCTGCTTTCCTGCGGACGTGATTTTGTCTTGGGCAAGTTGGATTTGAACCTGTTAAGGAAGGTTATTGTTTCCCCAGGGATTCTGGGCAGCCTCCAAGGTGAGGACGATAGGAGGGAAGAGGAGAACTCGGAGAAGCTTCTGAAGCTGTCCGCGGTAGCGAAATTCTTAGCACAGCGCTGGCTCCGGCTGCGGTCTTGAAGTGACCGTGCGCCGGCGTAGCCTGAGGCTGCCACCTGCCGGTGCCAGCCCATTTCAGAGGCTAAAACCCTTAACTGGTCGCGCTGATCCATTTCTGTCACGTCGAGGGAAAGTGGTAAAGAGCCCCAATTCTTCTTGGGTGCAAGCACCAGCTTAGCTATTCAGAGATGTGGCACTGTAGATCAAGTTACAATATCACCCCATACACCCAGTTTCTTCATCTGTAAAATGGGACCGTTGAAATAACAGAATCTGCCTTACGGTGTAATTTTGAGGCTTGGTTAATATGAGAAGGCACTTAGAAAATTCCTGGAAGATAGTAAGCAGTCCATGAGTGCTGGCTGGCTCTCCTACGAGAAAACTAACTTTGGTTGTACTGCGCTAAGCATGTTTAATGCGTTATCTCATTTAAACATCACAAGAATTCTGTGATGTAATTACTTTTGCTGGAATGCATTTTACAGATAAGAAACTGAGGCTCGCAGAAGTGAAGTAACTTCTTAATGTCTCAGCTGGCCCGGAGAGACATAATTTTCCTTTAGGTCTGTGATCGTTCAGGCTATAGGGTAGCTATTCAAGCACAGTTTGTGGACAGCAGCATGGGCACTCCCTGGCAGCTTGTTAAAGGGGCAGAATTTTCTCCATGTCTGGGTCTTAAAATAACAACAACAACAACAACAAGAACAGGATTCCAGACCCACCCTGACCTACTGAATTAGAAGCTGCATATTACTGGGTTTGGTGGTTCATGCCTATAATCCTAGCCCTTTTGGAGGCTAAGGTGGATGGATTGCTTGAGCTCAGGAGTTTGAGACCAACCTGAGTAAGAGTGAGACCCACCTCTACTGAAAATAGAAAAAACTAGCCTGTTGTTGTGGGCGGCACTTGTAGTCCCAGCTACTTGGGAGGCTGAGACAAGAGGATCACTTTAACCCAGGATTTTGAGGTTGCTGTTAGCTATGATGCCACAGCACTGTACCCAGGGGAACAAAGTTAGACTCTGTCTCAAAAAAAAAAAAAAAAGAAAGAATATTAAGAATATCTTGCATATTAGCAAGATACCTAGGAGATTTGTTACTTTGCACACTAAAGTTTGAGAGGCACTGTGTGCCACTTCTCCCGCCCCCCTTCCTTGTTTTAAACTTCAGACCAAAAGTGATTAATTTAGAGCTCCAGAGCAGCGACTCTCCACTCAGGTTACATACTGGAATCACAAGGCGGGGGCTCAACATTCTGGATGCCTGGAACATACAGATTTTTCTCGCTCCCTAGGCCATCCAAGTTAACGGATGGTTAATAGGAGAAAGCACTTAGAAAACTCCTGGAAGATAGTGAGTGGTCTAGTTCTCTAGAAGGAACTAGAGTCACATGATCACTCCTTGGTTGAAGGTAATTTTGGGAAGGAATTGTGGGGTGTTGGATTATAATGGAATATTTGAAAAAGAAATTCATAACCGGGTAAGAATTTCTATCTTAATTTAACATCCTGGATTCCTTTTTTTTTTTTTGAGACAGAGCCTCAAGCTGTCCCCCTGGGTAGAGTGCCGTGGCATCACAGTTCACAGCAACCTCCAACTTCTGGGCTCAAGTGAGTCTCCTGCTTCCGCCTCACAAGTAGCTGGGACCACAGGCACCCGGCTGTTTTTTTTTTGGTTGCAGCCATCATTGTTGTTTGGCAGGCCCGGGCTGGATTAGAACCTGCCACCTTAGGTGTATGTGGCTGGTGCCTTAGCCATTTGAGTCATAGGCACCTAGCCAACATCCTGGATTCTTGAAATTCTGCCAGTATTTCCCATCATTCTTGAGGAAGCACAAAACCTTTGGAAGCCCTCCTCACTGTTGCTTTTCTCTAGGTCATCACAGACCTCTCCCAAAACTCTTCAAAATATATTCTTTACTTTATTTTACAGATAAGGAAGCTAGAGCCGAGAGACGTGGGTATGTTATTCAGCGTCTCGTAGTAAATTTGCATGAGAACCAGCAATGAGATTTCCCTTCCATGATCTCATCTGGGGCAGCACTTCAGTTTGTTGACAAATTCCAACATGTCTAACGTGGGATATTTGGGTTTGCTTTTGTGGTGAAGTGAGTCTGATCTGTTGTGAGCCCTGCAGTAAGTCTGTTTGGACCTGAAGCTTGGTTTTGCCACTATTGGCTTTGGCCTCTTGTACAAGTCACTTAATCTCTCTATCCTTCAGTATCTATCGAATGAGGATTAAAAATACCCGCTTCAGAGGATTATTGTGAGATTTAAGTAATATAATGTGTTTAATTGTTTTCAGTAATAGTAATGATATTCTGGCAGCTGGCAGGGTAGTGCTGACTCTTGGCTGAGTCCCACCAGAGGGTGGACAGCTCCACATCTACCCACTATCTATCTCAATTGGGTGGACATTACATAGACAGAAATACTCTATTCATTTTTCATCATGCTGAAAAAACATTTATTGAGCAGCTAACTGTGTACTATAGTTATCTGTATGTTCTATCTATAGGTATCTATAGGTGCACCTTGATACAAAAGGAGAAATGTATTTTAGAGATTGCTTCCTGAACAGGAGCTCTGGTTCCTGGTTCTATCCCAGCTGACTCTCTAGGAAACCTCTAGCATTGAACTCAACCTTTCCCGGCCTTCTGTAAGCTGGTAGCAAGAATCTGCCCTCTAGAGGCCAACAGCAGGTCCCAGCAGTAAGAACAGGACTTGTCAAAATGTCTCACCCTGCTTGATAGCCTCCTACCAGCTAAACAGGACGATAGATGTGAGAAGCATGGAGTTTGTTGAGTGCACGCGAAGTTCCAGTGAAATGAATCAGGTTGCGATCCTGGATTTTTCCTGCTTAAAATACTGGCATTTGGAATTTGTAAGATGGTTGCCTTTACAAGTCTTGTTGTGTGTGCAGTGCCACATGATCATCTATATTCTGTGTGCCTTATCTCCTACTCTTCTCTCAGATTTCTAGCTCTGTAAGAACTTTTGTATATCTTTGCACATCCTGGAGTGTTTAGTGACATGAACTATATAACGTATGGTCAGAATATATGTCTGTAGAATTGAGCTCTACTGCACATCACTGAGGAATTTCAGAAAACTAGGGGCAAAGAGGAGATCAACAGGCTTTCGAAGAGGTAAAAACCAGGTTTCATTAAAAGGTTTTTTTTTTCAATGTACAAAATGTCATCACAGTTTTCATCAAGCTTGGAAACTGAACGTCAGTGAAACAATGCCTTCCGAAGGAAAAGTGTTTCCTGCCTAGAATTCTATACCCAAATTACCAAAATAAATAAGTTGGAGAAGAGAATCAAAATGTTGGCGGACATGCAAGAGTTTCAAAAAAAAGTACTTCCTTATCCTCTCTCTTAGGAAACTGCTAAAGGATGGGCTCCACCAAAACAAGGGAGGAAACCTAGAGAGAATAAGGTGTAAGATTGTGGAAACAAGGAATCCAAGACAGGAAGCAGGCAATGGGAATCACCAAGCTAAAGGAAGATCCCAGAGGGACAGCTCTGTGCTGGGCATAGACAGCAGTCTGCTCAGATGAAAGCTGGTCAGAAGAATACAGGAAGGGTTTATTCAAGGAGGTGACACTGGATAGAAACGTGTTTGAAAAAACGTCTTTGAGAAGAGGTTTACAAAATTGGGGGTGGGGGACAAGAGGTTGAACTAATGATAAGGACAACAAATATAACTAAAGAAATGGGAGAAGGATGGCATGATTAACTCCAGGGGAATTTAAAAAAAAAAAAATCCATGGAGGAAAGGGAAAAAAATAATTACAGTGACTTGCTTTGCATACGTGAATACAATCATAATAATGTGAACATTATTGGGTATGTTGACATACCCAAAGTAAGATATGACTCAATTAGGAGGATGGAGGAATAGGACTGTGTGTGGGGAGAGTGGAGAGGTTGAGATGAGGGTGGGATGAAGAGTTAAATCCTTATCTGCAATATTGGAACGCACATGGCACGTAAATGCCTATCATGGAAAAAAATCAGGAAATATCAATATGCCCACGTCATTTACAGCTATGGCGGTAATACCCGAAGAATGATCTAATAAGAATTGAGAGTAGTTGCCTCAGGAGAGTAGGAAAGGGGGGTTGGCAACTGATATCTTTGATGTATGATTATTTGATCCTGTAAATATGTATGACTGTCATTGTCTTAAGCAAAAATCTCCCTAAAATTTAAAAATAGGATCAA